GCTTGGCCGCTTCCCGAAGATCGTCCTCATCCTCGGGCACTTGAACATTGCAGGTCTCCAGGAACTCACGCAGCGTGTCCGCATCGGCCGCCGAGAAGTCTGGGATCCAGCTGGCCGCTGGGCTGGCCGCAGGCGCAGGCGCACTCGCTGCCGCCGGCGAGGAGCGCTCCGCTTCAGCCGCCTCGGCTGCTGAGCGAGCTGCTGCTGCCTCCTGCTCCCTCTTCTCGCGGTACACGCGCTCCGCCTCACGCACCTCCTGGACCGCATCATACAGCTTCTGCGCCGACTGCACCGAGCCTCCGAAGCCCTGCAGCAGCTCACCCAGCTGGCCCACGGAGACGTCGTGGAGCCCGCCGATGACTTGCTGCAGCGACTGCGCCTGCCCTTGCTCGGGTTGCGGTGGCTGAGGGCAGGCGACGACCAACTCGCGCCTCTGCTGCTCAATCTCGACCATCTCGCTCTTTGTGGCGCTGAGCTCCTTGTTGGCACGCTCCACCGCCTCCTGGGCGACCCTGACCTTCTCCTCCAGCTCACGAATGTTCTCTTCTTGCCTCGCCGCCTTCTTACAAAGCCGCTGATGCGTGAAAGAGAGCTCCTTGAGGCGTGTGTCCAGAGGCTTGGCCGCAGAGACACGCTGCCGCAAGCGCGCCTGGCGCTCGCGCATCTGCTGACAAGCCTGCTGCACCTCCTTACATTGAACGTCCTTGATAGCTTCGATCTGCGAGTTGAGCTCCGCCAGCTGCTGCTTGAGATCGCCGTCGGCCCCCCCCTCGTCCACCTCCATTGCATCCCGTGGGTCTGGAGGTGATGGCGGGGGCCCTCGAGCGAGCTGCGTACGGAGCTTCTCCAACTCTGCCTGGCATTGCTTGAGCTGCTGCTCGACCTTGCCACTGCTGCCCGAGCCTGCACGCTGCTGCGCATGCACGGCGGGGACTGTGGGCAAGGAACGAGGGCCACCGTAGCAGACCGACTTATGCAGGTTGCACTTGCTGCAATGAAGTCGATCGGCACGGTTCCACCAGCTCTCTCCCTGATTGTTCCAGCACGACTTGCAGTTCCACGGCTGGGCCCAGGCACGCCGCTGCTGTCCGCGACCCGAGACCAAAGGCACACGTGCACCATCGGGAGACATCCGCGGGCCGTGCCCGCCGTGGTGTAGGTACGCAAAAGTTGCGGGCTGATACCGCAGTACAGTGAATGGAAATGTGCCGCCGCGGGGGCGACCTGAGCTGTCGGGGGCCGTCGCTCCCCCACGCCAAGAGACTCTGTCCTGAGCGAAACGCTACGGACTTGAGCCAAAATGGCTACGGACGACGACGACGACGACGACGACGACGACGACGACGACGACGACGACTACTACTACTACTACTACTACTATTACGACTAATAGTAAAATTGTTACTATTACGGATAGTCATACCAATAAGACTGTTAGTAATACTAATCGTAGTAATAATCACAATAATACGACGAGTAATGCTACGATTAATGGTAACACGAATGTTGATGATAATACTGGTAACAGTACTACTAATAGTAATCTTACTACTACGACGAATACTAATAAGATTAAGAGGAGGAGTAGATAGAGGAGGATCTGTTGGATGACGAGGGGGAGGAGGAACAGCAGGGCGGAGGGAGGAGAACGGATGAGGTGGAGTAGGAGGAGGAGGAGGAGGAGGCGGAGGAGGAGGACGAGGAGGAGGAGGAGGAGGAGGAGGAGGAGGAGGAAAGGAGGAAGAAGGGAGGAGGAAGGAGGAAACGACGAAGGACGAAGGATGAATAAGGAATGAGGAGGAGGGAGGAGGAGGAGGAGGAGGAGGAGGAGGAAAGAAGAGGAGGCGAGGAGGAGGAGCAGGAGGCAGGGCAGGAGCAGGAGTAGCAGGGGGAGGAGGAGGAGAGGAGGAGGGAGGAGGGGAGGAGGAGGAGGAGGAAGGAGGAGGAGGAGGAGGAGGAGGAGGAGCGGACGGCGAGGAGGAGGAGGAGGAGGGAGGAGGGAGAGGAAAGGAAGGCGGAAACGGAGGACGAGGGGAAGGAGGAGCGGAGGAGGAGGAGAGGAGGGCAGGAACAGTAGGAGGAGGGGCGAGGAGGATGAGGAGGAGGAGGACGGGTGGGGGGGAGGAGAGGGGGGAGGAGGAGGAGGAGGAGGAGGAGGACAAGGAGGCGGAGGAGGAGGAGGGAGGACGAGGAGAGGAGAGGGAGGACGAGGCGGATGAGGAGGAGGAGGAGGAGGAGGATGAGGGAGGAGGAAGAAGGAGGAAGGAGTAGGCGGAGGAGGAGGAGGAGGAGGAGAGGAGGGAGGAGGAGGCGGGGAGGACTCAAGGAAGAGGAGGAGGGAGGAGGCGGAGGAGGAGGAGCAGGAACGGGAAGGAGAGCAGGAGCACGATGCAGGCCGAGGAGGAGAGGCGGAGGAGGAGGAGGAGGAGGAGGAGGAGGAGGAACGGAGAATTCAAGAGGACGAGCGGCGCGTTAGGCAGGCAGGCGCACGGGCAGTCTACTTGCGCGCCGTGCGCCGGAGGGGGCGGGCAGGCGGCTGGCTCCCCGGAGCGCGGGCAGCCGGCTGCCCCCCCCTGGTGAAGGGCAGCGGGCCGGCGAAGGGTCGTCCGCGTGTTATATGTTCACAGATCTATTTACATATATATATATATATATATTATATATATATATATATATATGTTTTTGGTATTATGCTTGAGTCGAGTGGTTTTTACTTATATATATACACACAAATGTCACATCTATATACATATATATTATATATAGATATATATATATATATATATATTGGAGTCAGCACCGCCCCGACGGTAGGAGGTAGGAGCGGGCCTATCGCGGCGCCAGTGATTCCACAGCCTTTTCAGGTGCGAGCCAGGCTCACTGCCTTGCCCGCTGCGCGCGCGCGGGGCGCGGGCGCGGGGGGCCCACGCCAGCTGTGGCCCCTAGGCAATCTCGCCTGGGAGCCCAAATACCTACCGGCCTCCTGAGCCGAGCTATCCCGGTTACCGGCCCGTGGGCCGAGATTCGTGGGGCGGCCCGCACTCCCGCTGAGCCCGTGGCTGCTCTGCGGGATGCCGCCCCCAGTCGGGCCATGGTTCGACGCCGTGGCCGACCCAGACTTTTTCGATCACTTCGAGCTCCGCTCCGGCCAGATCGTGGAGGTCCAGTGCTCGGACGACGCGGGCGACGAGCAGGGCACGATGCTGCTCGCGGTGACTAGCACGGCTACCGCCTCGGCGAGGGTTCGATGGCTCGAGGCCGTGTACATTGCCGCGAGCGACGAGTACTACGACTGGTACGTGCGGGAGTCGGCGGACAAGCCGCCCAGCCCAGCCTGGTACCACCTTTGCCGAGGTGAGGCGGCCACCTGCCAGAGCGTCAAGGCTGGTGCCGATTACGCTCTGCATTTCGCCCGTGTCAGGGCGGTCCCCAGGGCGGCGCTGGCCACGGGTGCGATCGGTTGGGCTGGTAGGGGTGTTGCCGCCGAGCGTGTGGAGGAGTACCTCGGCAACCTTGATGGGGGGCGCCGGGAGGCTTACCCGCCTGGGGGAGTCCCCGCAGGCGGAGACCGCGGCGAGTTCTTCGACGGAGAGCTTGTCGAGCAGCCGCGGCAGCAGCGGCAGCCAGAGGGATCTCCCTCCCGCGGTGCGGCTGCGGCAGCTCCTGTCGCAGACCAGCTTGCGAATCTACGTCGTGACCTTGCTGATGAGCCTCGCGGGAGGAGGCGCGAACGCTCGGGTCACCCTCGGAAGGGGCCGAGGTGGCCCTAGCAGGCCTGGCCTGTTTGGGGGGACTGCCCGGTCCCCGAGGCGCGGTGGTCGTGCTGCCGGGGGCCGCTCTGCTGGAGGTGGGGACGCTGACCAAGCTGGAGGTGCGTCGGCGCCGCCGCTTGTGGATGCGCCCGAGGGTCGGCGCGCCCGTTCCCCTACCCCCCGGCACGCTCGCGACCGCGACCGCGACCGCTCCCGCAGCCGAGGGGGCCGCGAACGTCGTCGCCGTCGAGGCGGCGACCGGGGCCCCTACGGTGCTGGCCCGTTGGCGGCGTTCTCCTCTTCGGAGTCGCGCTCGCGTTCGAGGCGGAGGCGTCGTTCACGCTCAGGGTCGAGGCCGGGTTTTCGCGAGGCCCCCTCCTCCGCCAACGGGAGCAAGCAGCTCCAGTTGGTGTCCTATTCCCAGCGTCATCCAGGACGGCTGGCCGCGCGGCTCCTGCTCAAGATGGCAGCCGGCGTCAGCAGGGAGGGGGGGGCCGTGCATGCCCAGCTGGGCAGCCTGGGCGATCTGAATCAGACGCCTCCGGCAGCGACATCGTACTTTTTGACGGTGATGGTTCCGACCCTGGCCACGCGCATGGCGCTTCGCGACAGGAGGGAGTTGCGGACGCTGTCCCTCATCCTGGACCTCCTGGCGACGCAGAGGCCCGAGGAGGCTGCCGACGTTGTGGCCCAGAGGATCAAGGCGATCGACAAGGCGCTGCACGACGGCGCTTGGACGCGCGCGCAGCTCCTCGAGCTCATGCCCGAGGAAGGGGCTCCCCTCCTGGAGCGCGACGAGGGCGTCGCCGTCGCGAGGGAGGCGCGGACCAACCAGGAGATCGTGGGCGCGCAGCCGTGGCGCCGGGGCCACGACGAGAACGCAGCCTCCCAGAAGGGGAAGAAGGGTGGCGGCAAGACCAAGAGCGGAAAGGGCGGCAAAGGGAAGCCTCCCAACGGCGGCTGACCGCTGCCCCTCGGGAGGCGCCGCGGCGCCGCCCCCCGTCCACAGCAGTCGCCAGACCGCCCCACTCACGGGTTGGATCCCGCGATGCGCGGTCCCCCAGCGGCGGAGCGTGCAGGGGGCGCGAGGCTGCCGTTTTGAAGCCTGCGGGAAGCCCCTCGCTGGGTGGACGCCGGCGCGTCGTGCGACTCTGCGACGCGCGGGCGCCGCCAGAGGAGCCAGCGGCTTCCTTCGAGCCTACGTCGGGCTCAGAGCCGCGTGGGGGCCTGGAGTCGCCAGAACGCCCGATGCTTGATATTTACCGGGAGGGCTCGCTCCCGAGACTTTCGCCGCCGCCGCGCAAGGGCCACGTGACCAGGGAGAGCTGGCGGGCAGACCTCGAGGTGGCCCTCGCCTCTCGGCCAGGGCTCTTCGATGCCTTCATCTGGCTGGATGCGCACTGGGACGAGCTCGCGACTCCCTTGGGCGACCTGCCGCGTTCTTTAGGGCGCGCTGCACCACCCTCTGCCCGAGGGTCTCGCGGAGCCACCCAAGACATCCTGCCGATTGCGGTCGAGGCCGTCCGGGAGCTCTCTGCCGAGAAGGTCTTGGGCCATGGGTTCGAGGAGGCATCCCTGGGGCGATGGGGCGGCGGCCTCCGCCAGTGGGTCTGCTGTATTTTGTCCGCCCTCAACTTCCATTATCTCGGAGCGGGCGCTGAGCCACCTCGGAAGGGCCCGGCACTGAGGCTGTCGCAGCCTCAACTCAGGCTGGTCCGGCATGTTGCGATGGCTGTCGTCGCATTCGTGTCCAGCCAGCCCGACGCCGCTGGGCAGGCACCGTCGCTGAAGGTCCTCAGGAAGAAGCTCACGACGCTTCCAGTGGACTACGGGGCCTCGGGCCTGGTTGTCAAGATGGAGGCGCTCACGCCAAGGAGGGTCGTCCCAGCATGGCCGGCAGTGGGGTCCGCGGCAATCCAGTCCGTTACCAAGTTCCTCGAGGGCGAGGTGCTTGAGAAGGTCGTGGATCCCAGCTCGAACCTCCTGGACCGGGCCTTTTGGCCCGCGGCAGCTAGGAAGAGTTACGTCCGTGCTTCTCAGGGGGCCTGGGCTGACTTGGTGGCCGCGGCATTCCAAAGGGGCATGATGAAACCAGTGAGGGAGGAGGATGTGTTCCGCGGCGTCGACGGCCAGCCTGTGTACAACGGGGCCAGCGGCGTCGAGAAGATCAAGTACAAGGACGGAGTGCGACAGGAACTCCCCCGCTTTATCAGCATCTTTTGCCCCATCAACGACTACCTGACCCGCATCACGGGGGACGACGACAAGTTGCCGCACGTCGGGCAGGTCACCCTCCTTCATTTGGAGGAGGGAGAAGAGGTTCTCATCGACTCCGAGGACTTCGAGAGCTGCTTCAACCTGTTCACTCTGCCCGACTCTGGCAGCGCTATGGGCCTGCCAGAGAAAGAGTGGGTGCGCCCCGCCTTGTGCGTCGTGCCCATGGGTTGGAACAGTGCCGTCGCCATCATGCAGTCGGTTGTCCGACGTCTTGCGTTCGGGCTCGCGCGGGTCTCCCCCGCCACCGAGGTGCAGAAGGGCAGGGGCCTACCCCCGCAGGACGACTTGTCCATCCTTTACCTCGACTCGTACGACCGACTCCGGGTTGTCGACCGGGCTCTCGCCGAGGCCCAGATGGGGGGGGAGACAGAGGAGCACGCCCGTTTCGTCAACGTGTGCTCCGAGCTCGGCCTCCCGCTGAACACGGGAAAATCCTTGATCGGGGCGACGGCGGCATCCCTTCAAGGGGGCTTTCTGGACAGCTCCCGCGGGACCTTCGGGCTCCAGCCCTCGAAGGGGGCCGACTTGGTCTGGCTGGGCCTGGCGCTGCTGGCCCAGCCTCGGTGGAGCGCGCGAGCGCTCCGGCACTGGGCTGGGAAGGCTTGCTTCGCGCCGGTGTTTCGGGGGCCGCTCTACGCGGTGCTGCAGGAGGTGTTCTGGCAGATCAAGTTGCTGGAGGCTGGGGCGGCGGTGCCGAAGGACGACGCGTTCGACGCGGTCCTGTCCTTCACCATCTTCGCCCCGCTCGCCTTCACCAACATACGCGCCACGCTCGATGGGATTGTCTCGTGCTCGGACGCGTCGCTCACAGGCGGCGGAGTTGCGGTGGCGATGTCGTTCCGGCCGTTCGTTACCGCGGGTTCGGCTTGCCAGCCCAGCTACCGCCAGTCCGGCGAGAGCCCTATACGGGCCCCTTGCGGCGCCCAGATCGGCGACCCCCGCAGCGCGGCTGACCACCGAGAGAACTGCGGGAAGTGCGGACGCTGCCCGTGTTTCGCAGAGCGGTTCTCTTGCCCTCGTGCCCCGCTGACGCAGGCAGTGGCGCAGTGGGGCATTCCTGTGCAGAGGCCCTTCGACGACGCTATGGGCCGCGATTTCTTTTCCCAGGAGGGCAAGGAGATTTTGACCACCGAGCAGGCCGAGACGGCGCTTGCCTGGGAGCATTTTGCTCCCGAGTGGCGCTTCTTGTCGAGGGCTCCTGGGCCAGACCGGGTGCGGAACGCCAGGCGCATCATTGGGATCCCTGGGCTCCCGCGCACTCTCGCGTTCGAGGTGCGGCGATCCGACGCGATGGGCAAGAAGGCCCTCGCTTGTGCCTTGGAGCGCCACGGGCAGGGGAAGCATTGGTGCATCGAGAACCCGTGCGACAGCTGGCTCTGGGACTTCGCGCAGGCCAAGGAGCTAGAGGAGAAGGAGGGGGCATTTTACTCTGAGCTCTCCTACTGTTGCTTCGGCGGCGCGCGGAGGGCCACCTGCTTCGCTCACAACTGCCGCGAGCTCCATGCCATGCTCCATCGCGACGGGCCCTGCTCCTGCCCCACGGTGCCGCCTAAGGACCCGTGCCACTTCTACGAGTACCCGGGCGCGCTGTGCCAGAGTTGCGCGGAGGTCGTCGCCGGCGCGCTGTCGCGACCCGCGGTGCCACCCCGGGAGGTGGACCCTGCGAGGCGGGAGGAGGCGCTGCGTGCCCGGCTCGCCCGAGCAGGGAAGATGTTCGTCGAAAAGGGCGTCTCGGAGCGCGTGGTCGCGTCCGTGCGTGAGCTCGAGGCTACCATGGCCCCGGGCCAGGAGATCGAACATCTGAAGCTCATGCTCCGCAAGTGCGACCACCGGGGCACTGACGTGAGGCTGATCGTCGACGATCCTTTCCATTCGCCCCCTGCTAGGGTGCCGTGCCCCGCTCTTGAGTGGGAGTGGAAGACCGTGCTGTCATGGCGATGGCAGCACGAGCAGCACATCAACACCCTTGAGGCGCACGCGGCGGGGACCTGGTTGAGGCGGCGTGCCATTTCAATCATGTACCACTCCCGGCGCTACCTGCACATCCTGGACTCGCTGGTCGTGACGGGTGTGCTCACCAAAGGCCGTTCTTCTTCTAAGCGGCTGAACCGCGTGTGCCGCAAACACATGGCGGCATCACTTGCATGCGATAATTGCCTTTTTTATGCCTGGACGGTTTTTGCGTGGAACTTTAGCGACTTTGCCTCGAGGAATGCCGGTGCTTCGTCAGCAGGGCCGTCGCGCCCGTAATCCTGGTGGGCCGGTTCGCCGGCACCTGCGCTATGTCGGCATCGCTCCGCGCGCGTTCCAGGTATACCGCCGAGCTGTTAACGCCTTCTTCTTCTTCTTCTTGCAAGCCAGGTCCCTCGCCCTGCCCACGTCGTTGTCGGAACTCGATCACATTGTGTCTGAGTTCATCAACGAGTGTTGGCAGGAAGGTGAGCCCATCGGCTTCTGCGGCCACCTCCTGAGCGGCCTGCAGCGCTTCTTCCCACAATGCAAGCACCACCTCAACACGAGTTGGCTGTTCTACAACAATTGGAATTCGACAGTCGTGCCCACTAGAGCCACGCCGTTCCCGAAGCATATTGTGGCTGCTCTGGCCTCCGCTGCGGCCCAGGCGGGGGATTTGAGGTTGGCCGCAGGGCTTCTGGTTGGATTTACTGCATTTCTTCGGACTGCCGAGCTTTTGTCGCTCGAGAAACGCCATGTCCGGCTCTTCCCTGAGTCCAACACGGTCTTCATAGCATTGGAGTCGACCAAGACTGCCGGGAGAAAGAGGGCCCGGGAGGCGGTGCACTTCGTGGACCGCGTCATTCTGACCTTGCTGCAGCGGGCCATGTGCGACCTTTCTGACGACGACCCCCTCGTCCGCCAGAGGGGGGGCGCCTTTTCGAGGGCATTCCAAGCTCTCCTGAAGTTCACCCGCCTTGAGCACGTAGGGTTCCAGCCGTACTCCCTACGGAGAGGGGGGGTTTCGTGGCACTTCACAAAGGTCCAGAGCGTGGACGCGACGATCGTACGAGGCCGATGGCAGAACCCACGAACAGCGCGCATCTACATTGAGGATAGCACGGCCGCATTGGTGCTGCTGCAGTTACCCGCCGAAAGTGCGGAGATTGTTAGGTGCCTCTGCAGGTGGTGGTCCACGTGGTGATGTTCGCCTTCGGCTTCGCTCAGGCAGTGAATGGTTTGGGATTGCCGGCCAGCCATGGGGCGTGTGGTTGTGGTCCTCGGCTACGCCAGTCAGTGGTGCGGGCTGCGAGGCCGGCCTCGCTCGGCAGCGGCTCCGAGGCTTGACCCAAAGTGTCTGCCTAGCCGCGCCTCGCTGCAAGACACTGCTGGTGCAGCGCGCCTGGAAAAGAAGGCGTGCGAGCGATTGGAGTCAGCACCGCCCCGACGGTAGGAGGTAGGAGCGGGCCTATCGCGGCGCCGGTGATTCCACAGCCTTTTCAGGCCTCCTCGACCCCGCCAGGCGCCCGTTCCAACACGGGAGTTTTACCGCCTCTCGGAAGGATGCCCAAGGTGAGGGTGCCATGTGCTCCACCGCCTCCCCGGCGAGTTACCACCATTTTGGTGAGGGCTGCGAGGCCGGCCTCGCTCGGCAGCGGCTCCGAGGCTTGACCCAAAGTGTCTGCCTAGCCGCGCCTCGCTGCAAGACGCTGCTGGTGCAGCGCGCCTGGAAAAGAAGGCGCGCGAGCGATATATGTATATATATAACACACAATTTGTATGTATATAATTTTTCCGAAGCCCGCCAGTAGGGGGACAGGCCCGACCTAATCCCAGCCCCTTTGGCCGCCTCGCGCCATCGCGCCCTCGGCCCGTCGTGCCCTGCCGCGCCCCGGCTGCTGTCCGACCGTCTTTCGGCCGCTGACTACGAAAGCATGCTTTCTTTGAGTCTGGCCTGTTTCTCTACAGGTGGAATAGTCAAACATTTATATATATATATATAATATATATATATATTATATATATATAATGGTAGGGGGACTTTTTGTTGTTGCAATGTCCGGCGTTTGTGTACTATTTGTTTGGCTGTCGCAATTTTCCATTCTTCCTCCAAAATCCGCCTGTCGGGCCTGTCCCTCCACAGGGGAATAGTCAAACATAGTTTTTTTACCATAGTAGGGAAACTTTTTGTTGTTACAGTTTTGGCCGCTGCTGCTCGGCTGCTGTCCGACCGTCTTTCGGCCGCTGACTACGAAAGCATGCTTTCTTTGAGTCGGGCGTGTTTCTCTACAGGTGGAATAATCAAACATGGTTTTTAAAATGGTAGGGGAACTTCTGGTTGTTGCAATTTTTGGCGTTTTTTTGTGTTGCAATTTTTCATTCTTCTTCCAGAATCAGCCTGTCGGGGGACAGGCGGATTCCGCCCTAAGATAGTAGGGGGTTTGGGTTGTTGCAATGTTTGGCGTTTGTGTATTTTCTTGGGGCTGTGACAAATTTTCATTCTTCCTCCAGAATCCGCCTGTCGGGGGACAGGCCCGACTTAATGGCCTATCGAGGACTACTTTGGATCATCTCGCGAAGGAACATGCGCACGAGGCCGACAGGGAGCGGCCGCCCGACTGGTGGCGAGGCGTGCGCCTTGCCGCGTGGGCGTCCCCCGAGGCGTTGCCAATCTTCGATCAAGCAATGGTATCCTGCATAGGTGCTCGGCCTTCAGAGTGTGCGCCGTACCGCGGCTGGAGCGGGACCTGATCGGAGTCCACAACATGGCACGGTGCACGGGCGCCGTTCTCGCAAGGCGGGCGGACCTTCGGCATCGGCGATTGCCGTCCTAGGTTTAAGTTTGGCGCGTCCTTCTACAGGAGGAATATACAAACACAGTTTAAAAAAGCAGCCCCGGGATGTATATTCGATGTTTTGGGCTTGTTTGAATATGTTTCGGATATTTTCCAAGTTGTCTTCCCCAATCCGCCTGCAGGAAGGCATGCCCGACGTGTTCCTAGTTTCAGCAACAGGGGCCCCTGGTTCGCAGGACCATCAATGATTGGCCTAGGGCTGAAACCTATCCCAGGGGAAAACGTCTGAAGCGCTGGGGCCGCGACGTGGGAACGAAACAGCTGGGGTGTAGTTTTCTGGATTCCACAGCAAAAAATGGTGGTCTGATTTTCGGGGGAACGAACACTGACATAAACATAACAACTCTGAGGTCCGTGTGGGTTTCTCGGATCGGCGTTGGACCCCCATTCCTTGGCGCGCGGAGCTCCTTGGCGCGCGGAGCCGGCGCCAGGGGTCTCAAGCGCCGATTCGAGAAATCCGCGCGGACCTCCGAGCTTTTATGTTTAAGTCATTGTTCGTTCGCCTAGATTTTTGGGGGTCTGATTGGAGCTGTTTTGGAGGGTTCCAGGGGGATCTGGGGAATAGGCCGCCCTTTCATGGCTAGTCGGGGGGGTCCAAAATGGCTCGCCTGGGGGGGTTGTGGCCCCCTCGTTTTTTTTGCGGTGTGCTCCGCCTGGCCTGGGGGCACCATGTTGCGCCAAAGGTTTGAGGAGTCCTCGTCGGGGCGCGGCTGAGAGCAATGTCGAGGTCGTCGCCCGCCCCCCAGGGCGCGGGTTGCAAACTGCACCCTTCAAAGTTGCCGACCTCCAGCGGGTGACTCTGACCTCCTTCGGCGGCGAGCGAGGGAGCGAAACGAGAAGAAAGGCCTTTTCAGAACGTTCGGAAGCCCCCCGGCGTTCTGAGAAGTCTTCGAATCCTTCCCCGAATACATTAAAAAAATGCTTGTCAGAAGGCGCGAGCGCTTCTGAGAAGTCCCGCCGCCTCCTGAGAGGGCCTTCTCCTCACTTCCCCTCCTCGCTCGCCGCCGACTCCTCCCAGACCAGACCTCCCTGATGCCTCTCAGTCGCAGGCTCCCTGAGGAGTAAGCTCGCGGCCCCCGCCAGCCACTTCTAGCGAAGGCACGGGCTTCGCCCGCGGCCGCCCTTCGGGGGCCCAGCCAGTCATCCGAGCAAACGCCCCACTCCCAGACTTAAGTCGGGCACGTCCCTCTACTGGAGGAATGTTCACAAATAGTCAGGGGACGATTTTTCGACTATGTTTGATAATCTTTGCGTTTTTTTTGTGTATTTATTATGTTTCCCAAATCCGCCGGTAGGGGGACGTGCCCGACCTAATCCCAGACCCCAGACCTCCGTCGATGTGGTTAGTTCACTCGGCGCCTTCCTTTCGGGACGATCGAAATAGGTATGGAAAGAATGGGCACGATGTCCAACAGCAGTTCCTGCTCATCTTGAACAGGACTCGCTGTCCGCGCCGCCGCTGGCGTTGTTCTCTGTAGACAAAAAGCCGCCTGCCCAACAGCGGCCGCTGTCCTTCTTGGACAACATTTGTTGTTTGGCATTGTACCGATGCTCTCCGTACCCAGTTCGGGCGTCCAAATCCTTCATTTCGTCATTGGGGCCGCTTCTGGTCCCAGGGGCTGTTTCTGGGCGGGAGCTCTGGGGCGCTGATTGGATAGATTATCGGATTATGTTTGGGCTCGCGTCGTGGAAAAATCACGGCGGACGGTTTTCCACAAGTTTTGGCCTCCGGCTGCCTCCGCTAGGCTGCGGTGCCGTCAGGAAACGGCTCGGGAGGAAACGCTGGTCCCATGAAGGGGTCCAGACCTCTGGGGAGCCACGCTGTGAAGAAAGCATGACGTCGGATGCCTGGGAAGGGGGTTAGCACCAGGGGAGGGGGTGGGCTTCTTCAAAGTTCAAAGGCAGGGGCGGTTCTGACAAGGGCCCCAGGAGCTTGTTTTTTTTTATTCTCTTGCACAGGGTGTCTAGAGTTCCGACCACTTTATTTCGGCACCGCCCCCCCCCCCCCCATCATCATCATCATCATCATCATCATCATCATCATCATCATCATCATCATCATCATCATCATCATCATCATCATCATCATCATCATCATCATCATCATCATCATCATCATCATCATCATCATCATCATCCACATCATCATCATCATGCGCCCCCTCCGTCTCAGCGCCCTCCCGCGGCTCCAGCGCCCGCCCAGTGCCCCCTCCGCCCCGACCACTTTATTTCGGCACCGCACCCCCCCCCGCTCCGCCCCCTCCCCCGCGCCGTCTCAGCGCCCCCCCGCGGCTCCAGCGCCCGCCCAGTGCCCCCTCCGCCTCGACCACTTTATTTCGGCACCGCACCCCCCCCCCGCTCCGCCCCCTCCCCCGCGCCGTCTCAGCGCCCCCCCGCGGCTCCAGCGCCCGCCCAGTGCCTCCTCCGCCCCGACCACTTTATTTCGGCACCGCATCCCCCCTCCCCGCTCCGCCCCCTCCCCCGCGCCGTCTCAGCGCCCCGCGCGGCTCCAGCGCCCGCCCAGTGCCCCCTCCGCCCCGACCACTTTATTTCGGCACCGCGCCCTCCCCCCCCGCTCCGCCCCCTCGCCCGCGCCGTCTCAGCGCCCCCGCGCGGCTCCAGCGCCCGCCCAGTGCCCCCTCCGCCCCGACCACTTTATTTCGGCACCGCACCACCCCCCGCTCCGCCCCCTCACCCGCGCCGTCTCAGCGCCCCTGCGCGCTCCAGCCGCCCCGCCCAGTGCCCCCTCCGCTCCCGACCACTGATTTCGGCACCGCACCCCCCTGGCTCGCCCCCTCCCCCCGCGCCGTCTCAGCGCCTCCGCGGCTCCAGAGCCGCCCAGTGCCCCCTCCGACCCGACCACTTATCCGGCAACGCACCCCACCCCCGCTCGCCCCCTCCCCCGCGCCGTCTCAGCGCCACCCCGCGGCTCCAGCGCCCCGCCATGCGCCCCCTCCGCCGACAAACATGTATTTCGGCCACCGCACCCCCCCCACCCCGCTCCGCCCCATCCCACGGCCCGTCTAACCTGCTCGAAGAGGGCCTAGCGCCCGCCCAGGGGCAGCTGCCCCCTCGCCCCGACCACTTGTATTTCGCACCGCCCCCCCCCCCCCCCGCTCCGCCCCTCCCCCGGCCCGTCTCAGCGCCCTCCCGCGGCTCCAGCGCCCGCCCAGTGCCCCCTCCGCCCCGACCACTTTATTTCGGCACCGCACCCCCCCCCCGCTCCGCCCCCTCCCCCGCGCCGTCTCAGCGCCCCCCCGCGGCTCTAGCGCCCGCCCAGTGCCCCCTCCGCCCCGAACTCTACTCTTAGGTCCGGCA